AATGAGTAAATAATATTTATTTTGGTAAAATAATATATAATATTATATAACTTTTTATTTTTTTAATTATGTTAGATTATATGACTTGTTAAGAGCATCTTTAGCTGCAGGTTTTGAAGAGGTTTATAAATGTAAACTTATAGGTTTTGTTGTTAGAAATGAGAGGTTTAAGGTTTGATAACACAAACTTGTGTTAACTGTACAAACCTCTTCTAAACCTTTTCAGCTTATCTTTGTTATAATTTTTTTTTATCTTCACTCTTCTTCATTTTTTCCTTTTTATTTCTTCTCTTTTACTTTTTTAATTCCTTTCCATTTGTTAACAAATTTTATACCGTTAAAAAATTGTAATAAATGTTGAATTTTAATTTCTTGTTAAAAATAATTTTGTTCAAATAGTGTATATGTACTTATGTAGTTATCACAACTATTCATTTTTATTAATTATGGTCTTAACTTTATTATAATTTATTAAATTTAATAAATATAAATAGTTAATTACATTTAATAAATTCAATAATACCAATATAAATAAAAATAAATGAAGTTCTATTTTTGAAACATGTCTAAAATATAAATGTATAATTTTTTTTTTATAAGAAATGGAGTTGTATAAAGATAAAAAGTGATGAAGTTGTATTTTTAAAAATTATTAATTTATATAATTATGTGCATTTATGAGATGATCAATATATATATATATACCAAATTGTATGAATCTATATATATGTTTTGATCTGATCAACTTTAAATATCTATAATTATTTTTTATCTATTTATAATAAACATATGAAATATTTAGATTGAATAAAAATAAAAAGTGTAGTTGTATTTTTAAAATATTAAAAAAAAATGTAAGAGTATAATATTAATTAAAAGTAAGTAGGAAACATGTGGGACCCTTAAAAATGAGGTTTATGAAGTTTATTATTATTGGAGGTTTATGAGTGTAGGAGTAAGAATGGAGTTTTGGATGATGTGGAGTGTTGGGAATTGTAAAAGGAGGTTTATGAAGATGTATTGTTAAAGATGCTCTAAGGAAAAAACAATCAGATTCGAGAAAAATACAGTCATCATCATCATTTTCTTCTTATTATTATTCTTCTGGGTCTTCTTTTTATTCCTATTATCCATAAACGACGTCGCAAAATGCAAATAGACTCAAATTTTGCTGATTGGGCTTCAAATTATAATTCCTACAAAACTGTTAAGATTACAACCAATATGGGGAGTGTATATGATGAACTCGATCACTACCTGTCCTCGCATCTCATATTTACAATTATCATACAACCATTTTGCCACTTACATTCGATATCTTGAATTGGTGGTAAAAAATTAATGAATGTCAATTATCATGTTTCATGTTTGATGGCCATGTGGCAGTTGAACAAACATTCAGTGAGTAAGAATATACACTTGACGCACGACGGTCAAGGTTAACACCACAATACTTGGAGGCTCGAATGCGGCTAAGTGATTGGAAGAAGGTCGAACGAAGATAACAAACGGCCATGTTAACTACCGAAGAGGATGACGAAGAGTTGAATGATTTTACTAATACTAGTGGAACTGGCGGAATCGAAGACTATGACTACGGCTAC